GACTGGGCGCCACCGTTTTGTTTGAAGCAAATGCAAGTGATACGAGAGGTTGAATCTGATTGGTCAGTAGGAGAGGCATAGAAAGGACATTACTCGCAATAGCCACTGGTGGCGCTACGATCGAGCCCAGGAATTCCAGCCTAGTTCGGCAAGGGTGGAAACTTGACTTTTAAAGTCAGTTAACTCCTTGCCTCGGGAAGATGGGGAAGACGCTGAGCCCCGTGACTGACGAGGATGGGTCGCTACTGTTTCTAATGTGTGGAAGTAAGTTACAATTTCATGCAAAGGTACTGTCATTTCTATCTCTTGCATACAAACCACACTAACACTAATCGAAATCCACAATATGGAGCTAAAATAATTATTCAAAAACTGAGAGCAATTATCATTAAGTTATCCAAATCTAAATTTATATAGTTCCAGATTTATCCGACGGCTAAAAAAGCTACGGGATTCCCGCAATGAAATTAATACAGTGTAGCAATAATTTATAAATTTGGTTGGACAAATGTTGCTTTTAACACTGTTTAAATTTACAATTATCACCCTAAAGTGTTCACGTTTTAGTTTGATATCCTGAACGAATTAGATATAAACTTCCTAGGGGAAGACTCTTATGGTACTAACTGCGTGGTCACACCCCTACATCACCCTTAAGTGTTTATTGTTCATCGCACATGGTTCACGAGTGACATGTTCTTCCCAGGAGAAGACTCGTATGGTACTTACTGCGTGGTCACACCCCTACATCACCCTTAAGTGTTTATTGTTCATCGCACATGGTTCACGAGTGACATGTTCTTCCCAGGAGAAGACTCGTATGGTACTAACTATGGGTCACACCCCTACATCACCCTTAAGTGTTTATTTTTATCGCACATGGTTCACGAGTGACATGTTCTTCCCAGAAGACTCGTATGGTACTAACTGTGTGGTCACACCCCTACATCACCCTTAAGTGTTTATTGTTCATCGCACATGGTTCACGAGTGACATGTTCTTCCCAGAAGAAGACACGTATGGTACTAACTGCGTGGTCACACCCCTACAACACCCTTTAGTGTTTATTGTTCATCGCACATGGTTCACGAGTGACATGTTCTTCCCAGGAGAAGACTCGTATGGTACTAACTGCGTGGTCACACCCCTACATCACCCTTAAGTGTTTATTGTTCATCGCACATGGTTCACGAGTGACATGTTCTTCCCAGAAGAAGACTCGTATGGTACTAACTGCGTGGTCACACCCCTACATCACCCTTAAATGTTTATTGTTCATCGCACATGGTTCACGAGTGACATGTTCTTCCCAGGAGAAGACTCGTATGGTACTAACTATGGGTCACACCCCTACATCACCCTTAAGTGTTTATTTTTATCGCACATGGTTCACGAGTGACATGTTCTTCCCAGAAGACTCGTATGGTACTAACTGCGTGGTCACACCCCTACATCACCCTTAAGTGTTTATTGTTCATCGCACATGGTTCACGAGTGACATGTTCTTCCCAGAAGAAGACACGTATGGTACTAACTGCGTGGTCACACCCCTACAACACCCTTTAGTGTTTATTGTTCATCGCACATGGTTCACGAGTGACATGTTCTTCCCAGGAGAAAACACGTATGGTACTAACTGCGTGGTCACACCCCTACATCACCCTTAAGTGTTTATTGTTCATCGCACATGGTTCACGAGTGACATGTTCTTCCCAGAAGAAGACTCGTATGGTACTAACTGCGTGGTCACACCCCTACATCACCCTTAAGTGTTTATTTTTATCGCACATGGTTCACGAGTGACTTGTTCTTCCCAGAAGAAGACTCGTATGGTACTAACTGCGTGGTCACACCCCTACATCACCCTTAATTGTGTTTTTTTATCGCACATGGTTCACGAGTGACATGTTCTTCCAAGGAGAAGACTCGTATGGTAGTAAGTGCGGGAGAGCATCAGACTGTGGATATGCACATTCAGTATGCAGCGGCGGTGTCTGCGACTGTGAGAGCAGTTACAATTATGATGACACAAGTGGAAACTGTACTGAGCGTAAGTATAGGGGGCTTTGTTACAACCCTTCATGTAAAAAGATAATCTTAATGAAAAAGAATACATTAAGGGTTGCGAGTTAACCCTTGTTACAACTCTTAATGTAAACCTATTATATGGTTTTAAGGAATGTATACTACTTAACAGGACCTTGAACACCTTTCTTGCCTGAATTGCAATATTATTTAAAACTTACGGCCTCAGTAATCTATTGCTAAAATACAAGCCAAGTAACTACTTCAAAATACCACTTTTAATAACGTGACAAACCTTCCCAGTTATTAAAAACAACTCTTTTTTGTTTTCGATAGGCTCACTGACATTTGCCATTTACAGTAATCAAGCAATATATTTAACTTCATTTGTAAGTTGTTGACAGTATTGCCAATAAGGCCATCAGCAAATAGAAGTGAATAATATTAATAAATTCCGGATGTAACTGAACACCAAATTCAGAAACCAATTCGTTTATAATAAAACTGACACAAAATGGGACTAAGCTTACACCCTTGCCTCACACCCACAAAGCAGTACAATGTACTCGATACTCTGTTGTTTGAACGAACACACGCCTTCACATTACTGTAGATTGATTGTACCATTTTACCCATTTAAGCACTCAAACCAATTTGTACAATAGCTTTCATAGAAGATGACGCTGAATGGAGTCGAATGCTTTAGAGAAATCAATAAATGCTACATAAAAATTACCTCCTTTTCGTGAAAGATTGGTTGGTTGGTTTGTTACTTTACGCCGCACTCAGCAATATTCCAGCTATATGACGGCGGTCTGTAAATAATCGAGTCTGGACCAGACAATCCAGTGATTGACGTCATGCGCATCGATCCACGCAATTGGGATACGATGACATGCATCAACCAAGTCAGCAAGCCTGACCACCCGATCCCGTTAGTCGCCTTTTACGACAAGCAAAGTCGCCTTTTACGGCGTGAAAGACAGCGCTGAAAGACAGAGTTTAAAATAGTTATCAATAGTTAAATAACCTTTTACGAAACCCCGACTGACATTCAGATATTTTATTCAAGTCGTCCAGACACACGCTTTATCATATCCCTGAAATCTTCCGCTGCTGAACTCTCTAGGTCACTCCTTTTACATTGTGCATACTGATCCCTCGTGATTCTACACAGTGATCTGTATGCATTGCAAACTCTGTTATACTTAATAAGGTATGACTAATCTTTAGTTTTCTTTCTGAACGCATTTAAATAATTGCACCGTTCATGTTTTTTTACAGCGAAATTCGTCATCATGCCATAGTGAACGTCTATAGTTATCGCTCACTCGTGTCTTCATCACAGAAGCGGCTGATACAATAGCATCAGTTATAAATGCTGCACCAGACACGTCTGTAAGAGAACACAGTGCTGCATTCTCACAGTCTGATGTCGAAGAGGATTCCATATTGTGGAGAAAATACTGTGAAGCTACACTTTCTAAGTGTATCTGTATTCTTTACGGTTACTGACTTTGTGTAACAACTTCATTTTAATGCGGGGCAGTCGGGTAGCCTAGTGGTTAAAGCGATTGCTCGTCACGCCGCAGACCCGGGTTCGATTCCCGACATGGGTACAATGTGTGAAGCCCATTTCTGATATTGCTGGAATATTGCTAAAAGCGGCGTAAAACCATACTCACTCACTCCTTTTAATGCCCCAAATACAGGTAGATGCTGCGATTCCGATCGAGATAATATATCAAAATCGGTGATATCGGGGAATATGTCACTCGATGCTAAAACATATTCTATCACACAATACCCTAAATGCCCAATAAATATAGTCACCGATTTGATAGTCAGTTCAAAATCTTTCATTCACAATAAATATGTTTAGAATTTAACACATTTCCAATGGGTTGTCTGGCCCAGACTCGATTATTTACAATCGTTCGTTAATTGGGTATAATTTGACTAAACCACATTCCATGATATTTCTCATATCACAATGTTACTGCCTGAGAAATTCATATTTCTACATTCAGAAAACCTTGTTAAACCTATTGTTTGTTTATTTGTTGTGTAACGCCGCACTCAGCAATATTCCAGCTATATGTCGGCGGTCTGTAAATAATAGAGTTTAGACAAGACGATCCACGCAATTGGGATACGATGACATGCATCAACCAAGTCAGCGAGCCTGACCACCCAATCCCGTTAGTCGCCTCTTACAACAAGCATAGTCGACTTTGACGGTAAGAATGGGTTACTGAAGTTGTTCTACCCCGGATCTTCACGGGTCAAATCTGGCAGTGCGTAGGATTAGTCTCACAAATGAATGTTTTTCAACGTTTTTGAGGGGTTATGTAGACTCTTCTTGATCACGATTCGAACTTCAGCTAACCTTTCCTCCAAGTGAAAGAAAAGAACATACATCTCCTATGCCGTCAATAGCTCCTGGATGCTATAAAATGTTCACTTCCTTGATTTGACCTTTGATAGATCTGGGGGGGGGGGGGGGGGGGGGGGTTGGGGGAGGAGGAGGGGGTTGTTAGTAAGTTAAAGATTTATGTCACGTCGGCAGTATTTCAGCCACGTTGTATTAACTTATTTTGAATGTTAAATCTGACCCGTGAAGGTCCGGGGTATAATAGCTTTTGAGCAACCCTTGCTGTAAAAGGCGACTATGCTTGTCGTTAGAGGCGACTAACGGGATCGGGTGGTCAGGCTCGCTGACATGGTTGATGCATGTCGTCGTATCCCAGTTGCGTGGATCGAGGCTCATGATATAATTCACTGGATTGTCTGATTATTTACAGACCGCCGTCATATAGCTGGAATATTGCTGAGTGCGGCGTTAAAAAACAAACAAAAGAACACACCAAAACAAAACAATATAAAATCCTGTCATCTCGGGATCAGTAAAATAACTAGTAACACATAACAGAACCACATTTAACTCAATAATAACAAACATGTTTGTTCGCATATCTGGCATTTATTAGGATTCAAATTAAAGCAACAATCAATTTGTCTTCACAAGCAACGAGATGCTTTTCGTAAGACCGATGAAATGTTAATACCACAGGCATACGAAGATATATCCAAATATCGACGTATATGATATAAATAGGGGAAGAGTTTTGCGGTCGGAATCTTGTTGTCCGTTACACGGTTTAAATGTGCGGTGTTGTTCGTGTGCACCGTGTCAGACTGCCATGGACAAATCATCTCATCACATATCTGACGTTTAGTGGCAATAACTTAACCAATGGTCTTTCGGGCAACAGTCACTTTGCCTTCACAAGTAACGAAACTCTTTTCGTATGACAGACATGCGAATACCATATAAATAAATGAGAAATATCGTGTTGTCCGTTCTGATTTGTGGACACAGTGTCGTTAGTGTGTACATCGCCGTTGGTGTGTACAGTGTCGTTGGCGTGTACAGTGTCGTTAGTGTGCACAGCGCCGTTAGTGTGTACATCGCCGTTGGTGTGTACAGTGTCGTTAGTGTGTACAGTGCCGTTCGTGTGCTCAGTGTCGTTAGTGTGTACAACGCCATTAGTGTGTGCATCGCCGTGAGTGTGTACAGTGTCGTTAGTGTGTACACCGCCGTTGGTGTGTAAAGTGTCGTTGGTGTGTACAGTGTCGTTGGTGTGTACAGTGCCATTAGTGTGTACATCGCCGTTGGTGTGTGCAGTGTCGTTAGTGTGTACAGTGCCGTTAGTGTGTACATCGCCGTTGGTGTGTACAGTGTCGTTAGTGTGTACAGTGCCGTTAGTGTGTACATCGCCGTTGGTGTGTACAGTGTCGTTAGCGTGTACAGTGCCGTTCGTGTGCTCAGTGTCGTCAGTGTGTACAATGCCATTAGTGTGTGCATCGCCGTTAGTATGTACAGTGTCGTTAGTGTGTACAGCGCCGTTGGTGTGTACAGTGTCGTTAGTGTGTACAGTGTCGTTGGTGTGTACAGCGCCGTTGGTGTGTACAGTGTCGTTAGAGTGTACAACGCCGTTGGTGTGTACAGTGTTGTTCGTGTGCTCAGTGTCGTCAGTGTGTACAATGCCATTAGTGTGTGCATCGCCGTTAGTGTGTACAGTGCCGTTAGTGTGTACAGCACCGTTAGTGTGTACAGTGCCGTTGGTGTGTACAGCGCTGTTAGTGTGTACAGCGCCGTTGGTGTGTACAGTGTCGTTAGAGTGTACAACGCCGTTGGTGTGTACAGTGTTGTTCGTGTGCACAGTGCCGTTAGTGTGTACAGCGCCGTTAGTGTGCACAGCGCCGTTGGTGTGTACAGTGCCGTTAGTGTGTACAGCGCCGTTAGTGTGTACAGCGCCGTTGGTGTGTACAGCGCTGTTGGTGTGTACAGCGCCGTTGGTGTGTACAGTGTTGTTCGTGTGCACAGCGCCGTTTGTGTAGTGTCATCATTGTGTACCGTGTCGTTAGTGTGTGCAGCGCCTTTAGTGTAGTGTCGTTAGTGTGTACGGCGCCGTTAGTGTAGTGTCATTAGTGTGTACTGTGTCGTTGGTGTGTGCAGCGCCTTTAGTGTAGTGTCGTTACTATAGTGTGTACGGCGCCGTTAGTGTAGTGTCATTAGTGTGTACTGTGTCGTTGGTGTGTGCCGCGCCTTTAGTGTAGTGTCGTTAGTGTGCACAGCGCCGTTAGTGTAGTGTCATCAGTGTGTACCGTGTCGTTGGTGTGTGCAGCGCCTTTTGTGTAGTGTCGTTAGTGTAAACAGCGCCGTTAGTGTAGTGTCATTAGTGTGTACTGTGTCGTTGGTGTGTGCAGCGCCTTTAGTGTAGTGTCGTTAGTGTGCACAGCGCCGTTAGTGTAGTGTCATTAGTGTGTACCGTGTCGTTGGTGTGTGCAGCGCCTTTAGTGTAGTGTCGTTAGTGTGTACAGTGTCGTTGGTGTGCACAGCGCCGTTAGTGTGTAGTGTCGTTAGTGTGTACCGTGTCGTTAGTGTGCACATCGCCGTTAGTGTGTACAGCGCCGTTAGTGTGTAGTGTCGTTAGTGTGCACAGTGCCGTTTGGTGAGTGTCGTGTGTACAGTGTCGTTTGTCTGTACAATGCCGTTAGTGTACAGTGTCATTAGTGTGTACAGTGTCGTTAGTGTGTACAGTGTCGTTAGTGTGTACAGTGTCGTTAGTGTGTACAGTGTCGTTAGTGTGTACAGTGTCATTAGTGTGTACAGTGTCGTTAGTGTGTACAGTGTCGTTAGTGTGCACATCGCCGTTGGTGTGCAGTGTAATTTTTGTGCAATGTCGTCAGACTGCAGTGTCGTTAGTGTGTAGTGCCGTTAGTGTGTACAGCGCCGTTGGTGTGTACAGTGCCGTTAGTGTGTAGTGCCGTTAGTGTGTACAGCGCCGTTGTTGTGTACAGCGCCGTTGGTGTGTACAGCGCCGTTGGTGTGTACAGTGTTGTTCGTGTGCACAGCGCCGTTTGTGTTGTGTCATCAGTGTGTACCGTGTCGTTAGTGTGTGCAGCGCCTTTAATATAGTGTCGTTAGTGTGTACGGCGCCGTTAGTGTAGTGTCATTAGTGTGCACAGTGCCGTTAGTGTGTACAGTGTCGTTAGTGTGTACAGTGTCGTTAAAGTGCTAAGTGTCGTTAGTGTACACAGTGCCGTTAGTGTGTACAGTGTCGTTAGTGTGTACAGTGTCGTTAAAGTGCTAAGTGTAGTTAGTGTGCACAGTGTCGTTAGTGTGCACAGTACCGTTAGTGTGCACAGTGTCGGATAGCCAGGTGCCAGTTTTCTGTGATATTAGTGACGAGATACCCGACAGGGAGCTCCAAAGCGGGCGTGTCGCAGAGGTTGCATGTTTCATCTTTATTGTCAAGCTCCGCATTGACACACACGAAGTCAGTCTCTGCCTCGCATGCTGCAGCGCAGGCCCGTATCGTTGACGTGCTCAGGACCTTGGAGTTGCAATAGTCAACTCCACTGGCAGGGTAAGTACTGATTTCCTTGCCATAGGCGGTGCAGCCTGAAAAATATGTCACATGTCACACTTCATACTTAAGGGAATTAATAATTACGTGGCACTGGCAATAGTTCAGCCACAAAGCGACACTCGTGTTAAAGGCATGTCATATGTGTATACATTGTAACCTCAAGTTCACCAGCTTAGTTTGAAATTGGACAGTCGAAATCATCAGGAATTTTCTTACTTGAATTCATAGGCTCTCAGGGGGCACGGGTGGCCCAGTCGTCTGAGGCGCCGCGATTCGCTATGCAGAGTTCCGTCCCTTGAGCACGCCAGAAACCTATGATTGTGGGTTCGAATCCCGGTTCGCCCCGATTATGTTTCTAGGTTTGTCAACACCATACCCGTGCTCGTGGGTTTCACCGAAGTGGTAAACGTCCGAGACCTGCATTACTTCGGGCTTTCCCTCACATTAAGCTGACACGCCGTGATATAACTGGAATACTGTTAAAAGCGGCGTTAAACCAAACTCACTCACTCACTCATAGACTCCCAGGTTATCTCCTTGACACTGCCCACTTTACATAAAGTTTATCAAGCGAATGTGGTTAGGGATGATGATTATCCTGTATTAGGTGAGGTGAAATGGGGTTTAACGTCGCGTCCAAGATTATTGCACTTATATAGCCACGTGCATGTACGTGTGTGTGTTTGTGTGTGTGTGTGTGTGGCTGCTTGTACTAGTCCGGACTGATGCCGATTTATAGTGCTAGCACACTGAGATATCATGCCGCAGTTTAACATGAATACCCCACTCAAGACACAGTATACTGACTTCGAGCCGACCAGTCCTTCTTTTAGCCCCTTAATGCCTAGCGCCAGACAGGGTAACAACAAGTACCATCTTTTAACGTCTTTTGGTATGACGCGGCTGGGGACCCGGGACCTTCCGCTCTCCGGGCGGACGCTCTACCACTAGACCACGGAGGCGGTTCCCTGCATTAGGAATAAACCTTGTATTTAGGGCGCCTTGACGAGCTAAATACAGAGTGTGTATTCCGAATACTGGTTATTTATCATCCTAAAACACACAAGCGTAGACAAGCGTACAATGTCATTCTGAACTTATGTCATCGAAAAACCTGTTTTCATCTCAAACAAAAAACAAAAAAACAATTGCCTATACATATTGTTCCACCTGCATACTTGTTTTTTAAAGGGAGGCTACGCTAACCCTAGTCTTTGTGTAGAGTCTGCCTGCCCTGCTATAGTGAGTGAGTGAGTTTGGTTTAACGCCGCTTTTAACATTATTCCAGTTATATCACGGCGTGTCAGCTTAATGTGGGAGGAAAGCCCGAAGTGATGCAGGTCTCAGACGTTTACCACTTCGGTGAAACCCACGAGCACGGGTATGGTGCTGACAAACCTAGAAACATAATCGGGGCGAACCGGGATTCGAACCCACAATCATAGGTTTCTGGCGTGCCCAAAGGACGAAACTCTGCACAGCGAATCGCGGCGCCTTAGACGACTGGGCCACCCGTGCCCCCTTGCCCTGTTATAACGTTACGAGGTGCAGAGTCAAATGTAACAAAAGCGACAAAACGAAACAAGGTAACACTTCGGATATATTAAGGCCAAATCCAACTGTCATAAATTTGGGAAATGGACCCAAGCCGCAGAAGTCTAAAAATGATCCCACTAGGCCAGTGACATCGCTAAATTGTTTCGCAATTTAGTCTCCAAAGTTGACATTAACTCATAATAATAGGCAAGGATTGTCAGGCTCCCGTCCAACTGTTGTCATCCCCTCCTTGCCAAATGCAGACCTGACATTAACTAACATTAAGAAAATTCATTAACATTAAGGATGGTGGCGCAGTTGCTAGCGCCACTGTCATTGGATCCAGAATAGTAGACCGCCTCCGTGGTCTAGTGGTAGAGCGTCCGCCCGGAGAGCGGAAGGTCCTGGATTCGAAACCCCGGCCGCGTCATACCAAAATACATTAAAAGATACTTGTTGTTACCTTGTCTGGCGCTCGGCATTAAGGGGCTAAGACAAGGACTGGTCGGCTCGGAGTCAGTATGCTGTGTCTGAGTGGGGTATTCATGTTAAACTGCGGCATGATATCTCAGTGTGCTAGCACTATAAATCGGCATCAGTCCGGACTAGTACAAGCAGTCACACACACACGTCGCTATATAAAACAATAATCTTGGACGGGATGTTAAACCCCATTTCACCTCACCTCACCTACAGACTAGTATCAAGATTACCAGATAACAGCTCTATATTCACAGCATAAGCGAACGCCATTTAAACAGCTCTAAACTATATCAATAACCAATCTAAAAATAAATACTTCATTATTTTTTTCAGATTCTCTTTCGTGTATACAGACAATTGGATATGTAATTTAAACCTCTTTTACTTAAATTTAGAAAAATATTATTTGATGATCTCGACGCTGCCCAATATGACATCACCAGTCTGTTGCTGGTAACCCAGTCATGTTGGAATCATTGGTAACACAATGACCGATGCGTCTGCAAAAGCAGCGCTCTGTGACACCACTTCTAATCCCTTACAATGATTATCAACCCATGATCAAGAGGTTACATACATGATCTAATACGAAAGAAGTTGGACACCCAAGTTGGTTGGTTTGTTTAACGCTGCACTCAGCATATTCCAGCTATATGACGGCGGTCTGTAAATAATCGAGCCTGGACCAGACAATCCAGTGATTGATATCCTGATTGGTTGGTTGGTTTGTTGTTTAACGCCGCACTCAGCAATATTCCAGCTATATGACGGCGGTCTGTAAAATAATCGAGTCTGAATCAGACAATCCAGTGATTAATATCATGAGCATCGATCCACGCAATTCGGATCGATGACATGCATCAACCAAGTCAGCGAGCCTGACCACCCGATCCCGTTAGTCGCCTTTTACGACAAGCATAGTCACATTTTACGGCAAGCATGGGTTGCTGAAGACCTATTCTACCCCGGAATCTTCAGGGGTCCTGAGCATCGATCCACGCAATTGGGATCGATGACATGCATCAACCAAGTCAGCGAGCCTGACAACCCGATCCCGTTAGTCGCCTTTTACGACAAGCATAGTCACCTTTTATGGCAAGCATGGGTTGCTGAAGACCTATCTACCCCGGGTCTTCACAGCTCAAAAACCAAAGTTTGACGCTGTCAGATCAATGTAATACCAAATACTTACGAATCAGACAGTCGCCACTCATGACGTCATAGCTAGCTCCAAACATGCAGGTGCAGACGCCGTCTTCGCATTTGGACTTCCCAAAGGCACAGTTTGAAGACGTCACGCACTTCGTTCCAAACGACGACTCTTGTAATAAGATACGGAAAAAAGAAAATATAGAACAAGCTTTGTTTTCAAGAATGTAATATAAGACCAGACAGCTCATATAAGGTTGGTTGGTTTGTTGTTTAACGCCGCACTATTCCAGCTGTACGACGGCGGTCTGTAAATAATCGAGTCTGTACCAGACAATCCAGTGATTGACATGAGCATCGATTCACGCAATTTGGATACGATGACATGCATCAACCAAGTCAGCAAGCCTTGACCACCCGTTTACGTTAAACGCCTCTTACGACAAGCATAGTTGCCTTTTACGGCAAGCATGGGTTGCTGAAGAGATATTCATCCCCGGATATTCACGGCTCTCAAACGTATGGAGGTAAGTGTTCGAAAGTGAATAGATTCCATCGTTCTTAAAGGTAAAAAAACCATTAGCCTCAACTACACCCTGCATACATAACCGACTCACTATGTTGTTGTTACTTAATTAAACGCCATATTCAGCACTATTCCAGCAATATGATGGCGGTCTGTAAATAATCGAGTCAGGACCAGACAATCCAGTGATTGACATCATGAGCATCGATCCATGCAACAACCAAGTCAGCGAGCCTGACCACCAGATCCCGTTACTCGCCTTTTTCGACAAGCGTGGGTTGCTGAAGACCCTGGATCCTCACGGGTACGGGCTTTGAACAGTCATGGTGGTATATTTTGTGTTTCACCTCCTAGATCCCACCAACCACGGGGTGTCAACAAGGACGAAGCCATATTTATTACTCATCCGTGAAGAGATCACCCGTTCAATAAACATACAGTGGTATTATACACTGTTTAATAACATCACGTGCACACAGAGACCCGTGAAGAATCCGGGATAGTCTTCAGCAACCCATGCTTGCCGTAAAAGGCGACTAACGGGATCGAGTGGTCAGGCTCGCTGACTTGGTTGATGCATGTCATCGAACCCATTTGCGTGGATCGATGCTCATGATGTCAATCACTGGATTGTCTGGTCCAGACTTGATTATTAACTGACCGCTGTCTGGAATATTGCTGAGTGCGGCGTTAAACATCAAACAAACAAATACAAAATCTGCCTGGAGCAATCGTGCTAAAAACATTTGTAATGCCAAGTTCATTCTTCAGACTTGTTATATTGCAGTATAATTTATTGTTAAATAATGATTGTAACTGTATTACATTGTTTCTGTGGAGATTCAGTAGAAATTCATTGCATTGTATTTGGATACTGATTAGTTGTCAAGAATGTAATATTATTTAATGTCAGCAGTTGTGAGGAAGTTGCTATATATAGATGCTCGAACTATCTGTAAACTTCTGAAATAGCATGGATGGATGTCAAGCGTTATAGAAACAAATGGGGTAGTCTGTGATGTTCTTGTGACACTGGACTAGTCAAGCACTGTGTGGAAAGTGCTGGAAAGCTAGTGAGACCATATGAGTGGAGCGGGCACGTGCCTGTCTCATCTCACAATTTATCTGACATTACATCAAGATCAGCTGTTATGTGAAGATCACTTACCACCCCGGATTCTCGGAAACTTGACCACTAATGCGGATAGGTGAATAATATAATCACTGAACTTTTTGCCATCACAACTGCCATCAAATTTTGTATTTGATACTGCCATTGCTTATTGAACTACCACTCTGTTTTTATTGATTTGTAAACCTAGTTAATTGTGTATACAATTGTAAATTGTTTGTTGGTATTGAAATAAATATTTTTACGTACAGATTTATGGGTTAGCTAATTGTTTCAACCTTGGAATCGATAAGGAACAGCTACTGTTTTCGGCTCTCTCATAAAAGATGCCTACTGCATTGGTACAAATGCAATACATATTTTACATATTAATAATGCAATCCTTTCTCGTTGCACTTTCGATGCTCATGATATTAATAACTGGATTGTCTGGTCCAGACTAGATTATTTACAGACCGCCGTCATATAGCTGGAATATTGCTGAGTGCGGCGTTAAACAACAAACCAACCAACCAACCAATCGTTGCACTTACTTCCACAGAAAGAATAGAGTCGTGATCCATCCTCGTCAGTCACGGGGTTCAAGGTCTTCCCAAGGACGGAGTAACCACAGCCGTAAGTAGAGCACGTCCTTATCCTTGGGTTGTACCTGTAGGACTTGCATCTGTTGTCCTCGGAACACCTTCTGTTGCAAAATGCCGGCATCATCACATTCATGAATGTAGAGAGGTGGAAATCTGTAACAGCCTTTCCATCAAATTCCGCTAGACGATAATCCTTGCATTGTGTACATGACCAAACAAATCCAATGACTTCTACTAGTAGACACATACCAATAGCAGCAGCGTTTGACTTTGAACACATGTCTGTCATTCTGTCTTCTTTTGCGCACCCAGGAATAATGTCAAGGGATCTTGTTCACTGACATCGTCTGGCTCTTATGACTAAACTTGTTTCACTAATGGTTTTCGTGTTGCTCCAACGATATTCATTAAAAATGTACATCATCATTGATCAGGTAAGTGGAAACCCCTCTTTCCAATCTAGCCTTGAGAATAATCTTATGTCTTTAAGCATTCTACCCGCTCCAATGGGTTTTCCCCCAGTGGAAATTTGTTGGTTAATGCCACACTGATCAATATTACATCTCTTTGGAGTCGCCTGTGAGGACCCAGGGTAGAATGTGTCTCCATACCCGTGAAGATCCCGGGGTAGAATAGGTCTTGGTTGATGCATGTCATATGGGAATATTGCTGAGTGCGGCGTTAAACAACAAACCAACCATTGTAATGCAACAACTCTCACAATAATAATTCTAACTGGAAAGTTCTTTTAAATATTACGCGCGATAAAAAAAGCATTGACTGATGCTTATTTATAAACAATCAGATTGAAACGGCCTTGAAAGAATGTACACTTTATACAGTCCATGTATGTAGCTCTTTAGTTTGTAATCCTGAACTCCAGTGTGTCTTTTAACGGGCGGATTACCATCCTGGAACATCTGATTGTTGCCTTGGAAATAGAATAGGTCTTCAGCAACCCATGTTTGCCGTAAAAGGTGACTATGCTTGCCGTCAAAGGCGACTAACGGGACCGGGTGGTCACTCGCTCACTCAGTCAAAGTTTACGTGCTTTTTGCAATTAATGAAACAAATATCTTCATGGCTGATTTGAAATAAAAAACTAAACAATGTTTTTCATTTGTGGGGTTCACGGGAGTCAAGGAAAGATATTTTGGTCCGAAAATAGAAATTGGAAGCTCGTGCTTGTGACCTTCGTTGTCCTGTTGACCTTGGATCGGTTGGTCATGCTCGCTGACTTGGTTGATGCATGTCATCGTATCCTAATTGATCGATGCTCGTGATGACAATCACTGGATTGTCTGTCAAGACTCGATTATTTACAGACCGCCGTCATATAGCTGGAATGCTGGAGTGCGGCGTTAAACAACAAGCAAACAAACAAACCAAGCAATATCAAAGTTATTTGATCTGTAATCACTATTTTGAGATGAATACTAACGCCTACGTTATGTTATCATCATCGGCATGACTATACACAATTTTGTCATTTTATCTTTAAGGCTGTGATAAGAGAAAGATAGTGAGACTATCACATGAAAGTCGTGTGATGCCTAAGAAGTAGTTAACCCCAGGTAGTCGGCGTCAGTGACCTCATCCAACGTCAGCATGCCGACCAAGTCACTAGGAGACTTCGTTCAGTGTCCTGTGTGCAGAACAAGGTAGGATCTGTTCTGTGTCATTCAATACAATCTACATACACATTGGGGCAGATACTTTGTAATGGTTATAAAACCTGGCGTTTTGCTCAAAACAACGTTTTCACACGTTTATTATTATTTCAGTTATTAACACTGAAGTGTGTCCTCTCCGAAACTATCGCAATGAATAGCTTGGAAATTGCTGATGCGGCGTAAAACAATATTCATTCATTCATTCATTCATTCATTCATTCATTCATTCATTCATTTATTCATCCTCCGAAACAGAGAGATACATTTAAGGGTCCGATCTGAGAATGGTAGGAAATCCAAAGATATTGATTATGTGAAGGAAATGATAAGAAATAGCGTTACATGCCTCGGGCTCGGTGTATGCTGCTCTACTCTCTCTCTCTCTCTCTCTCTCTCTCTCTCTCTCTCTCTCTCTCTCTCTTAAGACCACTGGGCTTTTTTCATTCTCTTCAGCAGACTAAGCTTATTCAGGGGCAAGAATACGTTGCTGTCTTATTTGTCGACTTATGAATTTTGCATGATTAATTTGGTTTGTTTCTTATTTAAATCCACACTAATGCATATTCCAGCATGACGTGGCGGCCCGTAAATAATCGAACCAGACAAGACAGTGATTGATATTATGAGCAATGTGTCACGCCGTCGGGGTAGGATAACATGCCTTTATACCATATCATCGAGTCTGGCAACTCCGTGGTCTAGTGCTAGAGCGTCCGCCCGGAAAGCGGAAGGTCAATGGTTCGAACCCAAAAGACATTAAAAGATGATACTTGTTCTTACCCTGCCTGGCGCTCGGCATTAGGGGGCTAAAACAAGGACTGGTAGGCTCGGAGTCAGTATACTGTGTCTGAATGGGGTATTAAAACTGGGACGTTGTATCTCAGTTGGCTATCAATAATAAATCGGCATTTTTCCTGACTAGTACAAGCAGCCAAACGTCCACGCACGTCCATGCACGTCGCTATAAAACCTCATTGCACCTCTCCTCAGACACGACTTAACATATGCGAAAATGAGAACCAACCATCTGATTAAATAATCACATTTATATATGTAACGAATGAATAGATTAACCCGATATTTCGGCATAGGGGGAAAGCTAAACACATATTCAAATATTCACATTTTTCTATGTATGTTAGGCTGGGTGAACAGATGGATGAAGGATGGATGGGTTGATGGACGATCCAGTTATTTCGGTAGTTCAATATGCACCAAATCTTTGGTGGAAAGAATAAGTAGAAGATAGAGCTGTTAAAATCCTGATTCCTTCTAAGTTGTTTAATTGCATGTTAAGCAGTTCGTGGTCGGTTTTGTTCAAACTGTTTTTCGTTTAAAAAATGATACATTTGTTCCCCCACAGCCACGTCCCCACCAACGGAGCACTGAAGGATGGCGTCTATGCTTCCACCTGTGAAAACTGTGGCCACTTCTTCAAGTTCAAGGCCACAGGTCCTCTCAAGTCCTCGGTCACCTTCACCATCAATGGGACATCCTTTACAGGTACGATTGAGCAACATGACTGATACCAAAGAACCAGTGTACAAATGATTGATTGTACATCTAATACACCAGTAAAGTGAGTGAGTGAGTTTGGGCTTTACGCCGCTTTTAGCAATATTCCAGTAATATCACGGCGGGGGACACCAGAAATGGGCTTCACACATTGTACCCATGTCGGGAATCGAACCCGGGTCTTCGGCGTGACGAGCGAACGCTTTAACCACTTGGCTACCCGACCGCCCCACTCCAGTAAAGAGTACGATTCCCATTATAATACAAAACTGTTCTCTGGCAAATATTTTCACGTCTAACGCGAGTGAGTAAGAATACATATATGCTGCAGCTTCATTCGGGAGGATTCCCGAAACAATGGTCATTTGGCGGGAACAATGTGCTAACTGCTTGGAGTGCTGATGTGATACAAAAGCAGTGCTTTATATATGACTTGAATTAATTTACTCGTTCGTTGTGCCTCGACAGATAGAACCAACTGCTTTTCCATTTCCCTCTGCGCTTGCGACCTTCATCGGCGTTCACAATGTCATGTTACCGATGTCTGTCACGTCCACAAAGACTGTCACGTTCACAATGTCAGTCACGTTCACAAAGACTGTCATGTTCACAATGTCAGTCACGTTCACAAAGACTGTCATGTTCACAAAATATGTCATGTTCGCAAAGTATGTCATGTTCACAAAATATATCATGTTCACAAATTCTGTCATTTTCACAGTGTATGTCATATTCACAAAGTATGTCATGTTCACAACGTCTGTCACGTTCACAATGTCTGTCATGTTCACATTGTCACATTCACAAAATATGTCACGTTCACAATGTCTGTCATGTTCACATTGTCACATTCACAAAATATGTCACGTTCACAATTTCTGTCATGTGCACATTGTCACGATCACAAAATATGTCACGTTCACAATTTCTGTCATGTTCACATTGTCACATTCACAAAATATGTCACGTTCACAATTTCTGTCATGTGCACATTGTCAAATTCACAAAATATTTCACGTTTACAATTTCTGTCATGTTCACAAAGTCTGTCATGTTCACAAAGTCCAACACTAATTTTCCCTTTCTCTCTGCGTTGGTGGGTGGCTTTCTAATACACCAGTAAAGTGAGTGAGTGAGTTTTGGCTTTACGCCGCTTTTAGCAATATTCCAGTAATATCACGGCGGGGAACACCAGAAATGGGCTTCACACATTGTACCCATGTCGGGAATCGAACCCGGGTCTTCGGCGTGACGAGCGAACGCTTTAACCACTTGGCTACCCGACCGCCCCACACCAGTAAAGAGTACGATTCCCATTATAATACAAAACTGTTCTCTGGCAAATATTTTCACGTCTAACGCGAGTGAGTAAGAATACATATATGCTGCAGCTTCATTCGGGAGGATTCCCGAAACAATGGTCATTTGGCGGGAACAATGTGCTAACTGCTTGGAGTGCTGATGTGATACAAAAGCAGTGCTTTATATATGACTTGAATTAATTTACTCGTTCGTTGTGCCTCGACAGATAGAACCGACTGCTTTTCCATTTCCCTCTGCGCTTGCGACCTTCATCGGCGTTCACAATGTCATGTTACCGATGTATGTCACGTTCACAAAGACTGTCACGTTCACAAAGTCTGTCACGTTCACAATGTCAGTCACGTTCACAAAGACTGTCATGTTCACAAAATATGTCATGTTCGCAAAGTATGTCATGTTCACAAAATATATCATGTTCACAAATTCTGTCATTTTCACAGTGTATGTCATATTCACAAAGTATGTCATGTTCACAACGTCTGTCACGTTCACAATGTCTGTCATGTTCACAAAGTCTGTCATGTTCACAAATTCTGTCATGTTCACAAAGTCTGTCATATTCACAATGTCTGTCATGTTCAAAATGTCTATCATGTTCACAATGCCTGTCACGTTACCAATGTATGTCATGTTCACAACGTCTGTCACGTTACCAATGTATGTCATGTTCACAATGCCTGTCACGTTACCAATGTATGTCATGTTCACAATGTCTGTCATATTCACAAGGTATGTCATGTTCACAAGGTATGTCATGTTCACAAAGTCTGTCACGTTCAAAATGTCGTTCATGTTCACAATGTCTGTCACGATCACAAAATATGTCACGTTCACAATTTCTGTCATGTTCACAATTTCTGTCATGTGCACATTGTCACATTCACAAAATATTTCACGTTTACAATTTCTGTCATGTTCACAAAGTCTGTCATGTTCACAAAGTCCAACACTAATTTTCCCTTTCTCTCTGCGTTGGTGGGTGGCTTTCTAATACACCAGTAAAGTGAGTGAGTGAGTTTTGGCTTTACGCCGCTTTTAGCAATATTCCAGTAATATCACGGCGGGGAACACCAGAAATGGGCTTCACACATTGTACCCATGTCGGGAATCGAACCCGGGTCTTCGGCGTGACGAGCGAACGCTTTAACCACTTGGCTACCCGACCGCCCCACACCAGTAAAGAGTACGATTCCCATTATAATACAAAACTGTTCTCTGGCAAATATTTTCACGTCTAACGCGAGTGAGTAAGAATACATATATGCTGCAGCTTCATTCGGGAGGATTCCCGAAACAATGGTCATTTGGCGGGAACAATGTGCTAACTGCTTGGAGTGCTGATGTGATACAAAAGCAGTGCTTTATATATGACTTGAATTAATTTACTTGTTCGTTGTGCCTCGACAGATAGAACCGACTGCTTTTCCATTTCCCTCTGCGCTTGCGACCTTCATCGGCGTTCACAATGTCATGTTACCGATGTCTGTCACGTCCACAAAGACTGTCACGTTCACAAAGTCTGTCACGTTCACAATGTCAGTCACGTTCACAAAGACTGTCATGTTCACAAAATATGTCATGTTCGCAAAGTATGTCATGTTCACAAAATATATCATGTTCACAAATTCTGTCATTTTCACAGTGTATGTCATATTCACAAAGTATGTCATGTTCACAACGTCTGTCACGTTCACAATGTCTGTCATGTTCACAAATTCTGTCATTTTCACAGTGTATGTCATATTCACAAAGTATGTCATGTTCACAATGTCTGTCACGTTCACAATGTCTGTCATGTTCACAAATTCTGTCATTTTCACAGTGTATGTCATATTCACAAGGTATGTCACGTTCACAATGTCTGTCATATTCACAATGTCTGTCATGTTACCAATGTCTGTCATGTTCACAAAGTCTGTCACGTTCACAATGTCTGTCATGTTCACAAATTCTGTCATATTCACAAGGTATGTCATGTTCACAAAGTATGTCATGTTCACAAATTCTGTCATATTCACAAGGTATGTCATATTCACAAGGTATGTCATGTTCACAAATTCTGTCATATTCACAAGGTATGTCATATTCACAAAGTATGTCATGTTCACAAATTCTGTCATATTCACAAGGTATGTCATGTTCACAAATTCTGTTATATTCACAATGTCTGTCATGTTCACAAATTCTGTCATATTCACAAGGTATGTCATGTTCACAAATTCTGTCATATTCACAATGTCTGTCATATTCACAAGGTATGTCATATTCACAATGTCTGTCATGTTCACAAATTCTGTCATATTCACAATGTCTGTCATGTTCACAAATTCTGTCATATTCACAATGTCTGTCATATTCACAAGGTATGTCATGTTCACAAGGTATGTCATGTTCACAAATTCTGTCATATTCACAAGGTATGTCATATTCACAAGGTATGTCATGTTCACAAGGTATGTCATGTTCACAAGGTATGTCATGTTCACAAATTCTGTCATATTCACAATGTCTGTCATATTCACAAGGTATGTCATATTCACAAGGTATGTCATGTTCACAAGGTATGTCATGTTCACAAATTCTGTCATATTCACAATGTCTGTCATATTCACAAGGTATGTCATATTCACAAGGTATGTCATGTTCACAAGGTATGTCATGTTCACAAATTCTGTCATATTCACAATGTCTGTCATATTCACAAGGTATGTCATATTCACAAGGTATGTCATGTTCACAAGGTATGTCATGTTCACAAATTCTGTCATATTCACAAGGTATGTCATGTTCACAAGGTATGTCATGTTCACAATGTCTGTCACGTTCACAAGGTATGTCATGTTCACAAAGTCTGTCATATTCACAATGTCTGTCATATTCACAAAGTATGTCATGTTCACAAGGTATGTCATGTTCACAAAGTCTGTCATATTCACAATGTCTGTCATATTCACAAGGTATGTCATATTCACAAGGTATGTCACGTTCACAATGTCTGTCATGTTACCAATGTCTGTCATGTTACCAATGTCTGTCACGTTCAAAATGTCGTTCATGTTCACAATGTCTGTCACGATCACAAAATATGTCACGTTCACAATTTCTGTCATGTTCACAATTTCTGTCATGTGCACATTGTCACATTCACAAAATATTTCACGTTTACAATTTCTGTCATGTTCACAAAGTCTGTCATGTTCACAAAGTCCAACACTTATTTTCCCTTTCTCTCTGCGTTGGTGGGTGGCTTTCTAATACACCAGTAAAGTGAGTGAGTGAGTTTTGGCTTTACGCCGCTTTTAGCAATATTCCAGTAATATCACGGCGGGGGACACCAGAAATGGGCTTCACACATTGTACCCATGTCGGGAATCGAACCCGGGTCTTCGGCGTGACGAGCGAACGCTTTAACCACTTGGCTACCCGACCGCCCCACACCAGTAAAGAGTACGATTCCCATTATAATACAAAACTGTTCTCTGGCAAATATTTTCACGTCTAACGCGAGTGAGTAAGAATACATATATGCTGCAGCTTCATTCGGGAGGATTCCCGAAACAATGGTCATTTGGCGGGAACAATGTGCTAACTGCTTGGAGTGCTGATGTGATACAAAAGCAGTGCTTTATATATGACTTGAATTAATTTACTTGTTCGTTGTGCCT